AATTCATTCCTAACCCATTCTTTCCCGGAGAGACTTTTTTTCTGTTACATCATATCAGGGCCGATGTATAAAAACCAAAGAAAATTGGAAATTTAAAGGTCTATGCTGACTCTTACCAATTTGAACTATTTTTTTTCTGCAACCAATCAGGTTGCTTCATTCATTCTTAAAGTGACACTAAACTCAGTTTAAATACATTTCTATTCCAGTATGTATTTTTTAAACAAGAACTAAATCCATCAATTACATAGTTTCAATAAATAGTTACTGTACATTCCCTACACGTGCAGAGGACGTATCTGTCACGTTTGCTTGTGCTCTTCACCAAACTGTCAAACCATCAAATAGCTGGTGTCATAACTGATCACATGTGCAGCATCATGGCACTTGAAGATCAAACAGAAGCTAAGATGGCAACCTCCATGGCTGAAAAGAAAAGGAGGGTTTAGTTCAGCTTTAACTCAAAATGTCCATTCTATTGCTCTCAGCCTTCTCCAGATCTTCAAATTCATTTTTTTTTGCTGCTGTGACTTCCTGTTAGAGAGTGGCTATGTTTATTCTCCAAGGTCCCACTGTATGTAGGAACCCTCTCTTGCCCGTTCCTGAGATTAACTATGACCTATGGGATTTGTAATGTGCATAAAGCAGTGTAGATGACCACAAATAGTGTCCACTGCTAGTTACAAATAAATGGAAGTGAGGGGGAAAAGAAGTCGGGAATCCATGGAGGATGGTACAAGGAGGTGGAAAAACAATAAGAAACAATTTTATGAAAAATAGATGACAGGGCCATTAAAGAGGAACTTCAGTTTAAAAAAAAAATTAAAAGTAAACAGCTACTATTACAGTAGCTGCTGACTTTTAATATAAAGACACTTCTTCAGGTCCGCGGTGCCGCCATGTTGACTGTGAGAAGCTGGCTGTGACTTCCTGCAACTTCACAGCTAGCTCCTCATTGCCCATGTGTGAGCAGTTCTGCATTCCATGAATGTTCCTGGAGCCTCCTGGGACCTGTAACGTGTCCCAAGAGGTTGCTGGCTGTAGAGGTCAAACTTCCGCTCAGATCGCATAGGTAATCCAATCAGATGTGGGAGTGGGTATCTGTCAAGACAAGGTACCCAATCCCAGAAAGAAAAATATCTAAGTCCTGTGTGGGGGGGGGGGGGTGGCAGACAATCAGTGGAAACTGCCTTTAGTAAGTGAAGTTCCACTTTAAGTACTAGTTGTACATGGATTATTTTTGAAGAATAGGCATATTATTTATTATCACATTAGGCTGCCCATACATGGAGCATATACGCGCTGAAACTCGTTTACTGCCCGCCACCCTTCGAGTGCAAAATTGTCAGCTCAACAGAACAAAATACAATAGCCACAGCAGATTCGTTCATTTGTGCTATTTAGCATGGATAGAGAAAATATATATATATATATTATATATATACAACCACATGGAAGAAAAATATATTTGAAGTATATTTAAAAAATATGCTTCCCAAATATATTGCCATATATTTGAAATGCTACAATTGTGGCCATATTTAATATATGAAAAATATATTTTAATAAATAAATAAATATATATATATATATATATATATATATTTATATACTGCATGTTGAAATGCGTTTTTATTACATAATATATGAAAAATATGTTTAAAAATACATTTCAAAATATACTATATGTCTTTAAAAACACATCTATATTTTTGGAATGCATTTACAAATATATGTAAAAATATATGTTGAAATTACTTTTTTATATGTTAAAAAAATCTGAAGATATTCAAAAAATATAGATTTGAATCCAATCCTTACATCACCAAGTGCAATGCAAAGCGTCAGATGCAGTGGTGTATAGCACACTACCACTGGACTCTAGAGCAATGGAGATGTGTTCTCTGGAGTGACCAAACACATTTCTCTATCTGGCAATCTGATGGATATGTTTGGGTTTGGCGGTTGCCAAGAAGAGAACGGTACTTGCCTGACTGCATTGTGCCAAGTGTAAAGTCTGGTGGAGGGGGGATTATGGTGTGGGGCTGTTTTTCAGGGGTTGGGCTTGGCCCCTTAGTTTCCAGTGAAAGGAACTCTTAAGGCGTCAGCATACCAAGACATTTAGAACAATTTCATGCTCCCAACTTTGTGGGAACAATTTGAGGATGGCCCCTTCCTGTTCCAACATGACTGCGCACCAGTGCACAAAGCAAGGCCCATAAAGACATGGATGAGTGAGTTTGGGGTGAAGGAACTTGACTGGCCTGCAGAGTCCTGACCTCAACCCGACAGAACACCTTTGGGATGAATTAGAGTGGAGACTGTGAGCCAGGCCTTCTCATCCGACATCAGTGCCAGACTTCACAAATGTGCTTCATGAAGAATGGTCAAACCTTCCCATAGACACACTCCTAAATCTTGTGGATGGCCTTCCCAGAAGAGTTGAAGCTGTTATAGCTGCAAAGTGTGGGCCAACTCATTATTGAACCCTACAGACTAAGTCTGAGATGCCATTAAAGTCCATGTGCATGTAAAGGCAGGCCGACCAATACTTTTGGCAATATAATATATGTATGTGTGTGTATATATATATATATATATATATATATATATATTTTATATGTGCCTGCTATGGGTTTCCTTTGGATACTCTGGTTTACTCCCACACTCCAAACGCATGCCGATAGCTTAATTGGCTCCTGTCTAATTGCCCCTAGGATGTTTGAATGTGAGTTAGGGACCTTAGATTGTAAGCTCCTTGAGGGCAGGGACTGATGTGAATCTACAATATAGATGTAAGGCACTGCAAAAATTGAATATAAATACCTGTAATAATAATATGTGTATATACCTGTATATACCATTTATATAGCACCAGTGTGTTCAGACATGTAATTAATTCCTCCATTGCTACTTTTTTTTCTGCAGGAACACATACAGTTTTTCTGTACAATGCATATTATTTCCTGCTTTCCTGTTTTACACAGTTTATATTTCACTCTTTAGTTTTCAGCCACTCAATATAATGACAAATTGCTAGTCCTTTTTGGTGTTAGTGGAGCAATTATTGGCTTCAGTCAGACAAAAGCAATTGATCTGCTGAATTTCTCTGTTTGCAGAGAAAAGGTCAGCTCAGTCGTCAAAAAAAAACAAGAATCCGGGATGTTCTGGACTGATGAAAAAGAGGAAAATCATCAGGCAGCCTTGACAGTAAAATCTCATGTCCCGTCTTTATTCCACATTAAATTGTACAGAGTTAAGAACAGAGCCTCAGAGACTCTAATTGTCTACTTGTAACTGTTTCAGTAGTGCCGAGTCTAAGTAGACTTCACTTAGTCCCACATGTGAAATGTATATAAATAGTCTCCAGTAAAAGGGTAAATGATCTCCAGGTATATATCATTTTAGACAGCAAGACAGTAAGTGAAAGCCCAGACCTCTGGTGTCCTCCACTTGGATTAGTTGTTCTCTATACATTTCTCATGCAGCGTTACAACTCACCCTAAACATATTGCAGTTAAATCATTTCTATGGAACTTCTCATGCTTATTTATACTACCAGCCTTATGATATTTTTTTATTTAATTTGAATTTCTAATGAGACCCACTATACTGACACAGTGTTGTCCAATGCAATAGAAAAACAGTGTGACCAAAGAATGTATGCAAGGTTTATTTCATAATGTGACCAAACATTTTGCACACCTGACCAATACACCTATTAATTGGGCTAAACATATGTTACCAAACCTTCATGTTATTGAGTTCAGTTGTTAGATGTGAAAAGTACTGCTAATGTGACACCATAAAAATAGATTTTTTTGACAGTTGTGCACTTCCATTTTGTGGCAACAATTTGGGAAGACCATTTTTTGTTTCAGCACGACTGCCCCTGTATTCAAAGTAAGCTCTATAAAAATATGATTTGATGATTCGTGTGACTTGCATCTAAATCCTACTTAACACTTTTGGGATGAATTAAAAAGCCAATTACATTATTAGAATGGGCACCAATTCCACAGACACACTAAAAAATCTTCTGGAAAGATGTCCCAGAAGAATGATGGCTGTTATAGCCTCAAAGATGGGGGGGGCAAATCCATATCAATGCCCTTGGTTTTGAAATGTGATGTGCAGCAAACCCATATAGGTGGGACTGTCAGGGTTCCACAAACTTTTGGCCATATAGTATATAGTACCTTCAGCAAAGAAAGAAATGCAGGTATTGCCTACCACTACCATGCAGTCTTTATATTTCATTATTATGGACAATATCCATGTTTTTCTAGCATGTCTATCAGAGCCCTAATTACCTTAATATATTGCCTTTTTAAATTTGGGTTACTGAAGGCATTCCAGAGGCTGATTGTGATAAACTTCACTAGACCAAGCATGGACATCTAGGACACCTTCTAAATTTTTTGGAACTATCCTAGTACTGCCATTCCCCACCAGCGAACAGCTACCGGCTGCTGACACCTGAGCTACATACAGTAAGTTAATTTGAATCTGTGATATATTGTATCATAAAATGAGTCCAGTATTTTCAGGTGGCAGACATTAATAGCTTGGACAATAAGGTACCATAATGGGTGCTGCACCTGGTCCAAGTTACATTTGTTTGTTTAGAAGAAGATAAAATCTAGTGCTACAAACAGTTGAATAATGTTTAATGAATACAATGCCTCAGGAGGTAAGATGCTTGATATTTCAGAAATCTGCATGGCATATAGAGCAAATAAATTAACATTTTTTTTCAGTGCATTATTATACATAAAATATCCAAGCTTACTAAGGTTTTCACAACTAAAAATGTATTACGATGCACAGGGATCATGCAAAAGTTCTGGAATGTCAGGCTGCACAGAACATTTAGGTGCATAGGGCTCAGCATACTAAAGGTGATAAGGGTTCAGCACATTAGAGGTACACAGGGCTCATTACAGCAGATGTATATATAGTTCAGTGCACAGGGAGGTTGGATAAACAGGGGTTATTACCTGGCTGCCAAGAACAGCACACAGCTGACGGCCAGATAAGCCAACAACATGAAGAGCCAGACAGCAGGAGAGAAAGGATCCAAGAAGGAGAAGTACCCAGGCTTCCGGCCCTGTGGGAGACATGGGAATATATACAGGAGGGAACATATGTATACGAGAGGCACACTGCGAGGCTTAGGGTGCACAAATACAAGGAGAGAGCACAGCGAAAAGGGTATACATGTATATGAGATGTCACACTATGAAGTCTATAGCTCTAAGGGAAAAATCACTTATGTCATGTGTATATACAGCAAATGTGCATGCATGGGAATATCATGTGTCATGTGTGTACAGTTATGTATTTATAGAAGGAAGATTACAGTTTCAAATTCATACCACTAAACATGAAAATGCAGTGTAAACTGGGTACACAATAAACACGAGGCCAGGGGGGAAACTATAGCCACAGTAGTCCGTGCAACTGCTCTGAGGCCTAGCAGTACAGGTGGACAACCCTATCTATAATATACTTTACCTGGACACCTTTTGGATAAATTAATAAATATGTAATATTGCTAAAATTGTCTTGCCCCCCTAGGCCATCTGTTCCATCCTCCTACCTTAGCTGATTGACTAGCCTAAGCTCTGATTCACACATCCTATATATAGTCCAGCAGCAAGAATTAGTCAGTTTTTGTGGCTGGAATCACAGGTGGTTGCAGACAACTGCAACCAGCTACTGTGTACAAGGCAATGACTGACTGACAGGCAACACCACTCTCCACCACTGTTTGCATATATCTGCACATCCTGAGGTCACCTGTGGCTAAGATCAGATGGCCAGCCCTGGACAAAGGTGGACTGAATCCAGAGCTGGCAGTCTGACCCTAGTCAAAGGTAACCGCTGGATGTGTAGATGCATATGAACAGCGGTGGACAGCTGTGGAAGGCATCTTAGCTATGGCTGTCCCACGGGCGGACTAGCAACTCATGGGGCCCCCAAGCAATAGGGGATCATGGGGTCCCTGTGTCTTTGCCCACACTCAAACCACACCCAAAAAAGCCTATGAAATGTACCAGGGGCATCTCATGGGGCCCCCTACTGACCCTGGGCCCTCGGGCAGTGCCTGAGTGCAGGAATGGTCAGTCTGCCCCTGGGCTGTCCACAACCACATGTATTTCCAGCAGCAAGACACTGCTAATTCTTGCCTCAGGAACTGAATGTCCAGATCTTACAGGATGTTTGAATGAGGGTAAGTTTAACAAAACCAGATGTTATAGCTACACAAGGCATGCCGAGGCAGGACTGTCATCCTAACCTACTAGCATAATTTTCCAACAACAAAATGGTAAATCATGCAGGGACAGGAAGAATAAGGGTTATCTACAGTCAGGTCCATAAATATTGGGACATCGACACAATTCTAACATTTTTGGTTCTATACACCACCAGAATGGATTTGAAATGAAACGCACAAGATGTGCTTTAACCACAGACTGTCAGCTTTAATTTGAGGGTATTTACATCCAAATCAGGTGAATGTGCTTCGCAGTCCTCCTCCCTAACCACTAGACCACAGGCCTCTGCCTTCAAATCAGGTGAATGGTGTAGGAATTACAACAGTTTGCATATGTGCCTCCCACTTGTTAAGGTACCAAAAGTAATGGGACAATTGGCTTCTCAGCTGTTTCATGGCCAGGGTGTGTGTTATTCCCTCATTATCCCAATTACAATGAGCAGATAAAAGGTCCAGAGTTCATTTCAAGTGTGCTGTTTGCATTTGGAATCTGTTGCTGTCAACTCTCAAGATGAGATCCAAAGAGCTGTCACTATCAGTGAAGCAAGCCATCATTAGGCTGAAAAAACAAAACAAACCCATCAGAGAGATAGCAAAAACATTAGGCGTGGCCAAAACAACTGTTTGGAATATTCTTAAAAAGAAGGAACGCACCGGTGAGCTCAGCAACACCAAAAGACCCGGAAGACCACGGAAAACAACTGTGGTGGATGACCGAAGAATTCTTTCCCTGGTGAAGAAAACACCCTTCACAACAGTTTGCCAAATCAAGAACACTCTCCAGGAGGTAGGTGTATGTGTGTCAAAGTCACCAATCAAGAGAAGACTTCACCAGAGTGAATACAGAGGGTTCACCACAAGATGTAAACCATTGGTGAGCCTCAAAAACAGGAAGGCCAGATTAAAGTTTGCCAAACGACATCTAAAAAAGCCTTCACAGTTCTGGAACAACATCCTATGGACAGATGAGACCAAGATCAACTTGTACCAGAGTGATGGGAAGAGAAGAGTATGGAGAAGGAAAGGAACTGCTCATGATCCTAAGCATACCACCTCATCAGTGAAGCATGGTGGTGGTAGTGTCATGGCGTGGGCATGTATGGCTGCCAATGGAACTGGTTCTCTTGTATTTATTGATAATGTGACTGCTGACAAAAGCAGCAGGATGAATTCTGAAGTGTTTCAGGCAATATTATCTGCTCATATTCAGCCAAATGCTTCAGAACTCATTGGACGTCGCTTCACAGTGCAGATGGACAATGACCCAAAGCATACTGCAAAAGCATCCAAAGAGTTTTTTAAGGGAAAGAAGTGGAATGTTATGCAATGGCCAAGTCCATCACCTGACCTGAACCCAAATGAGCATGCATTTCACTTGCTGAAGACAAAACTGAAGGGAAAATGCCCCAAGAACAAGCAGGAACTGAAGACAGTTGCAGTAGAGGCCTGGCAGAGCATCACCAGGGATGAAACCCAGCGTCTGGTGATGTCTATGCGTTCCAGACTTCAGGCCGTAATTGTCTGCAAAGGATTTGCAACCAAGTATTAAAAAGTGAAAGTTTGATTTATGATTATTTTTCTGTCCCATTACTTTTGGTCCCTTAACAATTGGGAGGCACATATGCAAACTGTTGTAATTCCTACACCGTTCACCTGATTTGGATGTAAATACCCTCAATTAAAGCTGACAGTCTGCAGTTAAAGCACATCTTGTTAGTTTCATTTCAAATCCATTGTGGTGGTGTATAGAGCCAAAAATGTTAGAATTGTGTCAATGTCCCAATATTTATGGATCTGACTGTATATGGCACTGGCAGGTAGGCCAGAACCTTGGAACCTATTATTATACATGTGTTACTGACATGACACATTAGTGGTTGTTTGCCGTCCCTGGCATCCCTGCTGCCTTAGGCTGCAACCTATGTTAACTATGTTAAATTCAGCCCTATGTCTACTGGTAATTAGCGTACTGCAGTGATGATAATGCTGCTAGAATGGCACAAGCAGAAGTTGATAAAAGTGAAACCCCAGGAACGTCTTATATTTTGATCACCGTGGATAAGGGTTAGAACCCCTGCCATATTTTTATTGATATTGTGCTGGGGAGAAATCTTGGTAGTTCACAGTCAGAAGGACAGAAAACAGGAAGATATCCCTTCATTGGGTACACGGACAGCAGCAAAAACACCTTTTTCGTAGAGTATGGGAATATTTAAAGCCAACATTACATATTCCTGATATGTGCCTGCTGTACCATGTACATGTATGAAAAAGTGCCCTGTTCTCTTTGTATTGCTTTGTGTGAAATCCCTGGTGTTCCTGCCAGTCCCTCTGCTTTCCTATTAAAAACTGACCGCACTAAGCAGGAGAACAGCATGTGGTTAGTTCTCTAGCTGTGCTCTCCTCCAATGAGCAGACTTGTCCTGACAGCCCTCTTACCCCTGCACAGTCTTTCACTGGGAAGTTCAGTGTGCTTCTGTTTCTTTTCCTCCCAGCTGAGAACAGAGGAAATGTGATCACTTACAGTTGTGTTCAAAATAATAGCAATGTGTTGAAAAAAGTGAATAAAGCTCACAATCCTTCTAATAGCTTTTATTTGCATACACACAAATGCACTGGGAACACAACACATTCTATTCCAAATCAAAACATGAAGAAAAATAGATCAAATTTGTGTTGTTCCTCTAAAAAAATTGAAGAAAAGTGAATATTAGACTGTTCAAAAAAATAGCAGTGTTTGTATTCTTTACAAGCTCAAACATTCACTATATAAACTGAAAAATGTTTGAAGATTTTGCTTTCCTTTGAATCACTTAATGATTTTTTAGTTGTATAAGCACTGTTTCTGAGAACTGCTGTACATCTGTGTTGCATGGAGTCACCCAACTTCTGGCATCTGTGAACAGGTATTCCAGCCCAGGATGATTGGACTACATTCCACAGTTCTTCTCTATTTCTTGGTTTTGCCTCAGAAACTGCATTTTTGATTGGGCTGGCCACTCCATAACGTCAATCTTGTTGGTCTGGAACCAAGATGTTGCACATTTACTGGTGTGTTTGGGGTCGTTGTCTTGTTGGAACACCCATTTCAAGGGCATTTCCTCTTCAGCATAAGGCAGCATGACCTCTTCAAGTATTCTGATGTATTAAAATGCGTTAAATAGGCCCAACACCGTAGTATGAGAAACATCCCCATATCATGATGCTTGCACCACCATGCTTCACTGTCTTCACAGTGTACTGTGGCTTGAATTCAGTGTTTGGGGGTCGTCTGACAAACTGTCTCCGGCCACTAGACCCAAAAAGAACAATCTTACTTTCATCAGTCCACAAAATGTTGCACCATTTCTCTTTAGGCCAGTCAATGTGCTCTTTGGCAAATTGTAACCTCTTCAGCACATGTCTTTTTTTCAACAGTGGGACTTTGCGGGGGCTTCTTGCAGATAGCTTGGCTTCACATAGGCGTCTTCTAATTGTAACAGTACTCACAGGTAACGTACACCTTCTTTGATCTTCCTGGAGATGATTGTTGGCTGAGTCCTTGCCATTTTGGCTATTCTTCTATCCATTCCAATGGTAGTTTTTTGCTTTCTTCCACGTCTTTCAGGTTTTGGTTGCCATTTTAAAGCATTTGCGATCATTTTAGCTGAGCAGCCTATCATTTTCTGCACTTCTTTATATGTTTTCCCCTCTCCAATCAACTTTTTAATCAAGGTACGCTGTTCTTCTGAACAATGTCTGGAACTACCTATTTTCCTCAGAATTTCAGAGAGAAATGCACTGTAACCAGCATGTACAACATTTGCTGCCTTCCTTCCTTAAATAAGGGC